GCCGCCCTCTCCTCCGGATCCATCTCCGGCCCATCTTGCTCCAGATCCGGCCCGTTCCGCCTCCGGTGCCCCGATCCGGCCCGAAAGCTCTACGGTACGCTCACCGCAGCCCTTGGTAACCTCACCGCCCTCCAGATCCTCTCGCTTCCTTTTCATAACTTCACTGGCGAGATCCCCGCCGAGATCTGGGAGCTGGAGAATCTCGAAGTCGTCGATCTTGAAGGTAACTCGCTAACTGGAACCCTAGCTTCTTCGAGGTTGAATGGACGATTGAGAGTACTTAATCTGGCTTCTAACTTGTTTACTGGTGAGATTCCGGTATCTTTGTCTAGATGTGTTGGGTTGGAAACCCTAGATCTTTCTGGTAACAGGTTGAATGGAACTATTCCGGAGTTTGTTGGGGGTTTTGTGAAGCTGAGGGAGTTGCATTTGTCGTTTAATCGGATTGGGGGTGGAATTCCTGAGGAGATTGGAGACTGCCGGAGTTTGGAGGTGCTGGATTTGTCGGGGAACCTTTTGGTTGGTGGAATTCCGAGGAGTGTTGGGAACTGTAGTGAGATGAAGTATTTGATGCTGTTTTCCAATCTTTTGGATGATGTTGTTCCTTCTGAGCTTGGGAGATTGAGAAAGCTGCGAGTTTTGGATGTTTCGAGGAACAGTTTGAGTGGTAGGTTGCCTGTGGAGCTTGGAGATTGTGTTGAGCTGTCGGTTCTTGTGCTTTCGAACCATTATGATCCAATGCCGAGTGACGATCCTTTGGATTATGTTGAAAATGATGAGTTCAATTATTTTCAGGGTGGGATTTCTGAAAGGATTACATCTTTACCGAAGCTTAGAATACTTTGGGCGCCAAGAACGACATTTGAAGGGGAGTTTCCGAAGGATTGGGGTGCATGCATGAGCTTGGAAATGGTTAATCTGGGTGAGAATCTTTTTACTGGAGAAATTCCGGCAGGTTTTGGCGGATGCAAGAATCTGAAGCTTCTTAACGTGAGCTCGAACAATTTGACAGGTTGGCTAAGGGAGGATCTCCCAGTGCCATGCATGGCTGTATTCGACGTGAGCAGGAATAAGTTATCGGGCACGATTCCAAGGTTTAATTACGAACAATGCCCTCTGCCTTCCTTCGCACCCGATAGCTTGCCTGCAATGTATTCTTCGTTCTTCGAGCATAGAACTCATAAAGGCATTGTCTTTCCTTCTTCTAAATACACAGGTAATGCTGAAGTTTATCATAATTTTGGAAGGAATAATTTTTCTGGCAGTTTGCCTTCTTTCCCTTCTGGTGGGTTTGGCAAGGAAACTACGTATGCATTTCTGGCAGATGGGAATTCTCTTGTTGGATCATTAAATGATATCCTATTTGGAAGGTGCAGTACCTTCAATGGTTTGATCCTTAATTTGAGCAATAATCTGATATCTGGTGCAGTTCCAGCAGATATAGGTGCTATGTGCACTTCTCTTGTAGTTTTGGATGTTGCTGGTAATAGAATTACGGGAATGCTTCCTCAAAGTATTGGGTCTCTGCGCAATCTTGTTGGTCTGGACTTGAGCATGAACCGACTTCAGGGTCAGATACCTACAGATGTTGGTAAATTGGAGCGTTTGAATTATCTCAGTTTAGCAAGTAACAATCTCACTGGGCAGATTCCTTCCGAATTTAATAGGTTGCTTTCTCTTTGGTTGTTAGACCTTTCGTCAAATTCTCTCACAGGGGAGATTCCTAGTAATCTTGTGGCCTTGAAAAATCTCACGATTCTTCTTTTGAACAACAACAAGCTTTCAGGAAAGATTCCTTCCAGTTTTGCTAATGTGACATCACTCTCCACATTTAATGTGTCATATAATAACCTATCAGGGCCTTTGCCATCGAATGCCAATACTTTTAGATGTGATAGTGTTGCTGGCAACCCTCTGCTCCAGTCTTGCCATGTGTCTTCTCTTTCTATTCCACCATCATATGCGCGGGGGCGAAATGGAGATTCACAAATATATGCAGATCCGCCACCAGAAGTTTCCGTTCCTAGGAGTAGCAGCAGTGGGTTCAGTGCTATCGAGATTGCCTCTGTCACTTCAGCATCAGTTATTGTCGCAGTCCTTCTTGTCCTAATTATCCTTTATATATACACAAGAAAATGTGCTCCTGGGTCCTCAGCCAACTCTCTTGGAAGGCGGGAAGTCACCATTTTTGTGGACATTGGAGTTCCATTGACGTATGAAAATGTTGTGCGAGCTACAGGGAGTTTTAATGCAAGCAACTGCATTGGAAGTGGAGGGTTTGGAGCCACCTATAAAGCAGAAATTTCACCAGGAGTTCTTGTGGCTATAAAGAGACTCTCAATAGGAAGGATCCAAGGGGTTCAACAGTTTCATGCAGAAATTAAGACTCTCGGGAGATGGAGGCATTCCAATCTTGTGACTTTGATAGGTTATCACATCGGGGATGTAGAGATGTTTCTCATTTATAATTATCTTCCAGGAGGCAACTTGGAAAAGTTTATACGGGAAAGATCCAAAAGAGCTGTCGACTGGAGGATGCTGCACAAGATTGCTTTGGATGTTGCCAAAGCACTTTCTTATCTCCATGACCAATGTGTACCACGTATCCTTCATCGCGATGTGAAACCAAGCAATATCTTGTTGGATAATGATTTTAATGCCTATCTGTCAGATTTTGGATTGGCGAGACTTTTGGGTAATTCTGAAACTCATGCAACTACTGGTGTCGCTGGGACCTTTGGATATGTAGCTCCTGAATATGCGATGACTTGTCGTGTTTCTGACAAAGCCGATGTCTATAGCTATGGTGTGGTCCTTTTGGAATTGATTTCGGACAAGAAAGCCTTGGACCCTTCCTTCTCTCCATATGGTAATGGCTTTAATATTGTTGCTTGGGCATGCATGTTGCTTGAGAAAGGCAGGACACGTGAGTTCTTTACTGAAGGACTTTGGGACGTGGCACCGCATGATGATCTGGTAGAGACCTTGCATTTGGCCGTCAGGTGTACTGATGATTCTCTTACCATCAGGCCAACAATGAATCAAGTTGTGCGACGACTCAAGGAGCTTCAACCGCCATCTTGTTAACATTAAAACACCTCCTTTATAAATGCTTGACCTTTAGAAAGGTAAAAGTTCAGCTGTAATATGTATTCCATATTCATCCATTTTCCTTAACCCCTTTTTGTAGGAGCATTAGCTGTCCTCTTTGTAGTATACAACATTTTCTTTAGTTTCCCTTGGTAGCCTAGTGTTGTAATGTTTCACCAAGATGCAGAAGATTTTTAACCGGACCAAATTTTAAAATCATCTTCGCATAAATGCTGCTATTTACATGAGTAGGGTATTTAGTGGTTCGTTTGTAAATTTGAAACCATGTAACAATGCGGCTATTGACATGAGTAGTGTACACAGTGGTTCATTTGTAAGTATGAAGTCATGTAACATGCAAGATGTTTTTTTCAATAAAGTGTCTACAATGTCAAAAATTCTGTTTAAAATGGATGAATTACTATATTGATAAATTTCAAACAATGTTTTCATCTAACTGATCATATGACGACCTCTAACATGGGTAGATACGATAGAAACTTTCAAAAGGAAAAAAAAGTGGAGCATTATTATGTGGTTGCCCTATCCTTTAGTGTATCAGCTTACAGCAAATAGTTAGTAGGTATATAGAACTATTTGTCCTACTCAACCTTTTTTTTGTGATTGTCTTTGTATTTCCATTATTGACAGATTCAGATTTTAGAGACAAATCCTGCGTGATATGAGAGGTATAGTGTATGTTTCATTTTCAGATGCTTATTAACTTCCTGCATCAGTAGAACATAAGATCGAGAATAACTTTAATGTGGTAGCAGGTGGTGTATGTATATATTTGTGATACATCCGAGATGCATTGGAATGGGCTCTCTTCAAGTGTACAATTGATGTGGAGTAAGAATAAGTCCAAGTAAGTGCATTACAAATTTCTACGTTTTGTATGTATATTATGCTTGTCAACTACTGCGACAATTATCTTCTTAAAAAATCCATGCTTCATAATTGTTTTTAGAGAATGTAAGTTTCTTCATTATGTTTAACTTTTGGAAGGATCCTTGTGAAACACTGTCATCATGCTCACCCTTCTGAAGATCTACATAATTAAGAGTAACTTTCAGATGTGATTACATTAAGGCTTGTAGATCTGAATGGCAATGTATTATTATTAATCGAGGTCACAGATGAAGAAGAGATGCTAGAAGATTTCGCAATTTATCAGGAGTTTAATTTTATTATGTCCTGCTATTTGATTATTTGTTTTGGAAGTTCTATTTAGCATGAGCATGTTTGACTCTAGTTCAGAACATGGTCGCTAATGCTATAAACAGGGCTGCGTTATCTCTGAAACAAGAGATGCCATAGATAAAATTGATTGTATAGTGTTTCTTCTTTGTGTTCTGAAATCTGTCCACTTCTCAACCCTAATTATGTGCTCTGTATCTGCAACTCTAACCACCTCCCTAGTCCCTTATCAGCGCGTGCGCACCAATACACACACCACGCCACGCCACGCCCACTCATTCGTGCTTTCTTTGGTTCGCTGTATAGTATATTCTACCTTCTTTTGTTGGGATGTAACTATAATTATGAGATTGTAACCTGTTGTAGTTATCTGATCGTCCGTCATAATGTTTGTACGCTTTCATGCATGCATGCTTGCATTTGCGTGAATGCTCGTAGAAGATCGTACTTTCTACTTTTTTCTACTTTAATGTTTTGGGGGGAAAACTGAATTATTAATTAGAAAATTTTCAGAAGAGTCAAAACTTATTGAAGTCTTGTAATTGAGGCTCCAGGGAAGGAGGTATCTATGCAAATCAGAAATTTGTACTGTCTATTTTAAATTTCTAGTTCTATTTTTGGAGAAACTGAATTATCAATTAGAAAATTTATAGAAGAGTTGAAGCTTAGTGAAGACTCCTAAACAAGGTTTCATACGCTGCATGCAATTTACCATCATGGTCAAAAGTGGAAACAACATTCCAGTCGTTCTTTTTAGAGTCTATACAGTAGTATGAAGCACATGTAATCCAGCACATCAACAGTTTGTAGCTGCAAGGATCTGTATCAGTAATTTGTATATGAAATTTTGAGATTGAAACATTATGGATAAAGTAATCATTTCAATAATTATTCTGAGCTTTATGAGGCCACTGGAGGTGCTTCCGTGTGCATAAAGAGCACATACACATCCTTTTGACTTAGAAAATTTAGTGCCTAAATAGTCCTCAACTGAGATTAGCCTAGCAAATTAGTTGAGTAAGATGAACCATGGTGGCCAAGTGAATCATAAGACTGTCAATTCTAGCTTTATATGGCAAGTTATTGAAGTGGCCGACTATCAGATAATGTTTCAAGGATTCAACGCTTAGTGATTCTCTTATGACATTATATTTTGTTATGGTCTAAGAGATGAGTAACATTAGATACCTAAGCAGCCTGCCTTGCCTCCTTTTTGGCTGCAGTTTCCTTATTTCCTTCTTATTAAGAAGGAAGTTGCATCCAAGCAGCACATATTTACAGAAAACAGTCTTATCTTGTAAAGGCCTCCAACTCCCTAAGAAGAATGGACGCAAACACTTGACATAAATTTGGTATGGACACGGAACACAACAGTTCTTTAAAACTAGGACAGAAGGATATGGAAACAGGCTAGTGCAATATATATAAATAAATAGAATTTTTATTATGTCCATGCATTCAAAAGTACAAATACATGTATTAGTAGTATATTGATTACATGTATGGTAAAATTTTAACTATTTAATTTTTTGACTTTGCAAAAGAAAGGAGGCTTGATTCTCAACTTTCTGTAGATGATATTTTTCTACTGATTTTACCCTAGTTTGTCAAGTCGATGTTTTGACAGTCTTTTTCCACTAAAGGTGGTCTTTGATTCTGCTGTACAAATGAAAGTAAATAAATATCCTAGACACATAACATAAACAGCAAATGTATAAGTAAGTGGTTGTAAGTGTTTTAACAACTTTTTTGGTCAAATAAGGGTGATATTTTGTTCAGCCCATCGCTAAACTATTGACTCTTTTTCCTATCTGTTCTTTGTATATGCTTAATGAAGAAAATGCTATCAACAAATAAATGAGTGGAAAATCGAGAGACGAGTTCAATGGCAAATGACAGGCTCTCTCCCTTGTTTGGAAAGTAGCCTAAAGTAGTGTTCTTAATTAGCATGTACTAACCTTAGAACATTATTTGAAAGTGACGAGACAGACATGTTGAGCAAGATGGTGAACCTAGCATTTATTAGTATTTAATTGCTCTTGACATTTTCTCATTACATCCACTCTTTAATTCCGTCCATCCTCAATTTCCAATGGCTTGTCTTCATTATGTTGCAACGCTGCCTCTATGTAGGAGTATAGAAATATTCATGCAAATAGGAAACAACACTTATTACTGAAGCATTAAACAGACATCCAAATGCGTTCCCATAGTTCCGACACTATAATTTGATTATTTGTTTTGTTTATAGTAAGAACTCGTTATGCAGTATTTCTTTCAGAACTCCAGAAGAAGTAAATGATCTAAAATTAGCTTCTTGTAGAATAATCTTTATGCAATATTACATGTCTGCAAGTTCCAACTGTAGACTTCGCGTTTTGATAGGTTAACTAATGACGAGCATGAATTGCGAGGCATGTTTTGGACATTTTGACAAGCAACTCCGTACTTTAGATATTGCGGCTTTATTTAAACCCTTGGAATACGCGAAACATAGTCAGCCGCAAATGGTGGCGTGTGCTGTTTGCTTGTAGTTCATACTAATGCTTGCTTGGTGGTTCCTCTGATAGAGCTTTTCTTATTAGTGTAACCACGGAGGTATAGAAATTGTTTTACTATGTAGTCTAACTAAAGTAAAATATATCGTTAAATTTATTCTGTTACTAAATCGGAAAAAAAAAAACTTTTCTTCTTTCAGGTAATCCTAAGAGCAATTGCACAGTTACATAAAGAAATGGATAAGAAAATGGGGAGGAAGTCTCACTGACGTTATACTTCAATTTGTAGTTAGCAGCATAATTAACTAAAAATGATGCGTTCTGCATCACATTCAAGGGGAAAATGTTCTGTATAAATAATGAGAGATGTATATCTGGCGTTTGGACTCCCTTTCTCTGCTTGGGTCTCTGATTGCTATTGCGACTTGCATGAGGAATGATAAAGGCCGTTGAATTAACTTCCATTCTCATTTTCAAGTTTGTACCTGTAAGTTGTTTTGGAGAAATTTTGTGGTAAGTTAATTCTGAGAGTAATTCTGATCCTAGTAATTGGCTTAGAGGCGTTTCTGCTGCTTGTAAGTGACATAACACCACGGAGAGCTATACTCTTTCGTCGTGTATGTCAAGCTGTCTGATGTGTGATCTTAGGTGTTTAAGATACTTGATATGCCCCTATGAAATAATGATGGGATGATTATTTGATGATTATTTTGGGCATGTGAGATGATTGCGTATCAAACTTATGGATGTCATTGAAGCGAACGGCAAAGCAGATCAAAAATAAAAATATTAAAAAAATAAAAATTAAAAAAAGAAGAAGAAGAAGAAGCAGCAGCTACAGTTTGGTTGCGGTCTGGTCCTGTAGCATGGTTGCGGGCCAGTCGACCGAACGACATAGGTCGGTCGACCGATTTCGTGCACAATACAGGGTTCGTAACCCTGTTCGCGTCGGTCGATCAGCCACGCTCGTGTGGTCGACCGAAAGTGTGCTGTTTACAGGGCTGAAATTTGGGTTTCTAGCCGGTGGACCGCGAAGCGGGTAATTAGGTCAGATCGTTTTTCCCAGTTTGTTTTGGATTGGTGTTTGGTATAAATATAAACACGGTTTTTAGGGTTTAAGGAGGAGAGAATTAGCATTGTTTTGAACACTTTGAGAGGAAGATATTGTGAGGTAGTTGAGATCTTTGATTAGGGTTATATTTGAGAGATTGTGTGAGTTGTAATCTATTGTATTTCTCTTCCATATAGTGAAATCTTTTCATCCTCTCCCTGTGGACGTTGGCAATTGTCGAACCATGTAAATCTCTGTGTTTAGTTTGATTTGTATCATATTTTGGTGAATTGCACTCGTGTTTGGTTTTAGTTTTCTTCTCTCATTGCACGCCAACTCGTTTAGTTGTCTAATACGCTTCCGCACGACGCGTAACAATTGTTATCAGAGATCTAGGATTTCAGATCTAGGGCTTTGCATTGGGTGGAGGAAGATTCATTGTTGGAAGTTTGGATCTTAGAGATTTAGGCTTCAGTGGAGATAGCGTTGTGGAGTTGCCGTTGGAAATCTCGCTTCTCTCGTGTGGTTTGGAGATCGTGTTTGGAATTCTATCTAGGGTTCAGTTGGGTAATTTCTTAATTCTATCAAATTTCGAATATTTCTTTACAATTGGAGTTAGTTTGCAATGAGAGAAAAAGTTAGTGAAAGCAATAAGACGATGACGAGTACAGTTCAGGTTGCACTTCAAAATATTAAGATTAGTATTGTGAAGTATGACGGCAAAATTAATTTTTGTTTGTGGATGAGCGACGTACACAACGCTCTCAATGCTTAAAATTTGGAAGAGACCATCATGGTCCACGAGAGGCCACCGAAGTATGATGAGGCGATATGAGATAAGATGAATAGAAACGCTTGTGGGGGTGATCAGGTCTTGTTTAGAACAAGAGCTGAAATATGATGTGATTGGGGTGACGTCTGCGATGAAGATGTAGAAGATTCTTAACAACAAGTACCGTACGAAGAGTGTTGAGAATCGGTTGTACTTTTTGCGAAGATTGTTCAGATTCCAGATATCCAGGGGTACCTCACTTGCGGCTCATATGAACAACTATACAAAGTTGTTGTCAGACTTGGCAAACGTGGATGAGAAGATATCTGATGAGTACAAAATGATTATTTTATTAGGTTCCCTACCCGATGAGGAGTATGATACCTTCGTGCTCACTTTGGTGAACAGTAGATCTTCCATCACCTACAGTGAAGTGACTAATGCTTTAAAAAATTACGATTTGAGAAAGAATGATAAATAGTCTTCCCGAGCTAGCACTTCAGGAGAGATCTTGTCGACGAGAGGAAGGAGTCCATACCCAAGATGTGGTAATCGAAGCAAGTCAAAGTCAAGGGGCTGCCATCAATTAACAAAGAACCAGTGTGCGTTCTGCAAGGAACAATGACATTGGAAGAGAGATTGCCTGAAGCTCAGAAAGAAGGAGAATAGCAAGAAGAAGGGCCCGAAGGCCAATGAGGTGAACGTCGCTAGAGGTGATGATTCATGCTTTTCTCTATTGATTACTCCAGAAATGAACCATGCGGATGCATCAGATTGGATGCTGGATTCTGATGGTACTTATCATGTGACTCGCCGACGAGATTGGTTTGCATCGTTCGAGAAACTCGATGGAGTTGTGATAGTCATAGGAAATGATCAATCCTGTGGCATTTGTGGGATAGGTACCGACATGATTCGGATGCATGATGGAGTTGTTCGTGCGCTGAATGAAGTGAGATTTGTTCATCAGCTGAAAAAGAATCTTATTTCCGTTGGAGCTTTGGAAGCAAAGGGATTCAATGTGACTTTTGAGAACGCTGTAGCAAAAGTTACTAAAGGGATCTTTGGTGGTGATAAAAGAAGTCCGTAGTAGGAATCTATATTATCTGAAGGAAAGCACTAAAATTGGCCAGGTAGCTTCAACTGTTTCAGAGACGGATGCGAACAGACTTTGGCACTATAGGTTGGGGCACACAGGTAAAAATTCACTGCAGGCACTGTGCAAGTAGGAGCTATTAAAGGAAGCCAAGAGTGGAAAGATAGAATTCTATGAGCAGTGTATTCTTGGCAAGAAGACAAAGGTGAAGTTCGGGATAGCCATACATAGGACGAAAGACATCTTGGACTACATGCACACGGGTGTTTGGACTCCCATCAAGACGACATCACTTGGTGGTCGACATTGGTTCATCACGTTTGTGGATGACTATTCTAGGCGTTATGAGTGTACACCATGAAACATAAGAATGAAGTCCTAGAGTTATTTGTGGAGTGGAAGAGGAGATTAGAACTGCAGATTGGGAGAAAGATCAAGACATTGATATCTAACAACGATGGCGAGTACACTTCAGACCCCTTTCAGCAGCTATGTCGAGACGATAGCATAGAAAGATACTTCACAGTTAGTCATACACCGCAGCAATATGGGGTGGCAGAGAGATTGAACCGGTCTTTACTGGAGAAGGTCCGATGTTTGTTGTTACAGAGTGGTTTGGAGAAGATCTTTTGGGTTGAGGCACTTTCATATGCGAGCCATCTCATTAATAGACTACTTTCATCTACGATTGAGGGGAAAACCCCTATGAAGATTTGGTCGAGAGAACAAGCACGCGATTATGATCAGCTCATGGTATTTGGATGCCCTGCATTTTATCATGCGAAGACTGATAAATTGGAACCTCAGGCTAGGAAGGCTATATTTGTGGGATTCAAGCGTGGTGTCAAAGAATACAAGATTTGGGATCCAGTTGATAAGAAGATTGTGCTGAGTAGAGATGTCACATTTGATAAAGCTTCGATCTTGAAGCTTCCCAACTCTCATCAGGTGGAGAGCACCCCGACAGAGAAGATATCGCAGATGGTGGAGATTGATGCAGCTCCACATAGTCCAGATGAGACCATATCCATTAGAGTGCCTACTGAGGTGACGTCAGGCGAGCACGGCGATGATTTGGAGGATACAGGTACAGTTGAGCAGGATCAGGGACCGACGACTCAGATTCAGAATTCTATTGCAGTTCAGAGGCCGAGGAGAGACATACGGATGCCAGTGAGGTATATAGACACAGTCGTTGCATATGCACTTCTGGTGGAGAGTGTCGATGAGATGGTTCCTACTACATTCAGAGAGGTCGAGCAGAGTTTGGAAGGCTGATTTATGGCAGGTGGCTATGTAGGAGGAGATGAAGTCTCGTCACAAGAACGACACATGTGAGCTTGTCGAGCTTCCAAAGGGGCAGAAGGATATTGGTTGCAAGTGAGTGTATACGAAAAAGGAGGGCATTGAGGACACACCCATGAGGTTCAAATCTAGGTTGGTAGCGAAGGGCTATGTATAAGAGGAAGGTATTGACTATAATGAGGTCTTCTCTCCGGTGGTGAAGCACTCTTCGTTTTGGATTTTGCTAACATTGGTGGCATAGTATGGTTTAGAATTAGATCAGTTGGATGTGAAAATAGCATTTCTTCATAGTGATCTTGATGAGGAAATCTATATGACTCAGTCATTAGGGTTCCGAGCTACGGGGAATGAGAAATTGGTTTGTAGGTTGAAGAAATCGCTATACGGGTTGAAGCAATCTCCTCGACAGTGATATAAGCAATTTGATGGGTTTATGCTTGGCCATTCGTACATTAGGAGCCAGTTTGATCATTACGTGTATTATCACAAGTTGCATGGAGGTGCGTACATTTACTTATTGCTTTATGTCGATGACATGTTGGGATCTTTTACTTCCAGATCCGCGATAGATAGATTGAAGATTCTGCTTTCGAGCGAGTTTGAGATGAAAGATTTGGGTGAAGCGAAGCGCATTTTGGGGATGGAGATCGGCAGAGAAAGAGATAGGAGCATAATTTGTTTGACACATGTGGCTTATTTAAAGAATGTCCTACAGCGATTTAATGTGAGCATGGAGACGAAGCCAGTTAGTGTATCATTAGGAGCCCATTTGAAGCTTTCAGTTGACTTTTCACCGAAGATAGTTGAAGATAGAGAGTTGATGTCGAAGACTTCATATGCGAGCACAGTTGAAAGTTTGATGTACGTCATGGTTTGTACAAGGCCAGATTTATCACAAGCAGTAAGCATGGTTTCGAGATACATGCACAACTCGGGTCTGGATCATTAGAATGTCGTGAGATGGATTTTGAGGTACATTCGAGGTACACTCAACGTTGGTGTGTTTATTGAGCGGAACACTAGCGGTGGGCAGCTATGTACTGGATACGTAGATTCGGACTACGCTGGAGATTTGGATAAACGCGGTCGACGACAGGCTATGTGTTCACATTAACCCGTGCGCCGAGGTGTTGGAGATGCACCTTACAGTCTATGGTGGCTTTGTCGATGACGGAGGTAGAGTATATGGCGATTACGGATGCTATTAAGGAGGCGATTTGGCTTCAAGGACTTTTGGAGGATCTTGGTTTTTCACAACGATCCATCATCATTTATTGTGATAGCATGAGTGCTATCTATTTGGCGAAGAATCAAACCTTTAATGCAAGAACGAAGCACATTGATGTTCGTTATCACTTCGTTCGAGATGTTCTTGAAGATGGGGATGTGCAGATCGTGAAGGTCCACACAAAAGACAATCCAGAAGATATGCTCACAAATATGGTTCCGAGCAACAAGTTCAATCATTGTAGAAACTTATTGCA